CCACGGCCACGGAGTACACAAGAAGAAGCACAAGAAGCACAAGAAGAAACACAAGAAAAAACACCATCAGGAAGAGGAACCTGGACCCACGCAGCCGTCTCCTGCCAAACCCCAGCTCAAACTCAAAATCAAGCTGGGCGGCCAGGTCTTGGGCACCAAGAGGTGAGGCCAATGGAGCCAAGATTTTACGTGGGGAACTTTAGGAACAGGCAGAGATAGAAGCTGACTGGGCTTTTCAGAAGACAGAGAATAGACCCTGGGACTTTAGGTCCCAGGTTAAGGCAGCAAGAACCCTAGAAGGTGTGGGCAAGGTTAGATGTTGCTAGCTACTGAGCAGAAGGAAGACGCTTGCTCAACTTACGGAGTGGTGTTGCTTCTCCACAGTGTTCCTACTTTCACTGTGATCCCTGAGGGAACTCGGTCACCCTCTCCCCTTATGGTTGTGGACAATGAAGAGGAACCTATGGAAGGGGTCCCCCTTGAGCAGTACCGAGCCTGGCTAGGTGAGAAGGAGGTGGGGAAACCGGGTTTCTCATTACACCTGATTAAGGGGAGAATTTTGAGTATCCCAGTATTAACTTGGCCAAGTTTGGGCCAAGTTAAGAACAAGTTTACTTTTCTTTCTTCAGATGAAGACAGTAATTTGTCCCCCTCCCCACTTCGAGACCTGTCAGGGGACTTAGGGGGTCAGGAGGAAGAGGAGGAACAGAGGTGGCTGGATGCCCTGGAGAAAGGGGAGCTGGATGACAATGGAGATCTCAAAAAGGAGATCAACGAACGGCTGCTCACTGCTCGACAGGTAGGTTGGTTCCTTTTTTTATTGTTACCAAATATTTAGAGAACCTTCCATGTCCCCAAAACTTTGCTGGGCAATGGCCAATCAGTGATGGAGAAAAGACAAACTATATTTCTGTTCTCATGGAGCTGGTATTCGTGTGTGGATTGGGGGGGCAGTAAATAAGTAAACAATTTTGAAAAGCTGTTATGTTTATAACAAAAATAGGGTGATAAAACAAAGTGGTGATAAAGAGATAGCATTAGATAGGGAGGAAAGACTTCTCTGAAGAAGAAACATTTCCAGTACTAGAGAAGCTTCTCAAAAAAATCCCAAGAAATGTGATGCAGAGTTTAGTACACAGGGCAGGCCTCTTGATAGTCAATGATCTAAAGCTGAAAGGCTGGAGACCTGGGAGGAGACAATATTAAGGGCTCCTGGAGAGGGTGCTCATTCCACCCCTTCTCTCAAGGCCTGTGCTCCTTAAGACCCTTGCTTTCCTCGTGTCCTCTTCTGCCTCCCCACGGACCTCACCTCTCCATTTTCTGACACCATCCCTCTCTCTCTCCCCAGCGAGCTCTGCTTCAGAAGGCACAGAGTCAGCCTTCCCCGATGTTGCCACTGCCTGTGGCTGGGGGCTGTCCTGCCCCCGCCCTCACCGAGGAAATGCTGCTGAAGCGCGAGGAGCGAGCTCGTAAGAGGCGGTTGCAGGCGGCCCGGCGGGCAGAAGAGCACAAGAACCAGACTATAGAGCGCCTCACCAAGACTGCAGCGCCCAGTGGGCGTGGAGGACGAGGGGCTGCGAGGGGGGAGCGGCGGGGAGGGCGGGCCGTGGTTCCAACCCCTGTGGTGCGCTACTGCAGCGGGGCACAGGGTTCCACCCTTTCCTTCCCACCTGGTGTCCCTACCCCAGTACCAGTGCCTCAGAGGCCACCTCCATCAGGTCCCCCTCCGCGATGCTCAGTACCTGGCTGCCCGCACCCGCGCCGCTATGCCTGCTCCCGCACGGGACAGGCGCTCTGCAGCCTTCAGTGCTACCGCATCAACCTGCAGATGCGGCTGGGAGGACCCGAAGGCCCCGGGTCCCCCCTTTTGGCTACTTAAAATCCTTAACCCTGATTCTTCTCCCTCTCCCTTGTCCGGATTGTCTTTCCCATCCTATTAAATTTCATCCAGTTCCTCGACTTGTACAGAATTGGGAGAATGGGGTATGGAAAGCCAGTTTGCGGTGCACACATCTCGCTGGCCATTGTAGCTTGCATTGACGCCTAGAAAACGTCCACCAGACCGCGGGACGGCTGATCACTCTGGTCCAGACTCTTGCAGACTTTGGAGACCCCGTCTCTTAGAGCGGAATTACCTGGCGAGGTCGGGCATTCGTCGTAAACCCGGGAAGCAGGGCTCAAGCCAATCAGCGGGAAGTTTGCTTTGTTAGGCGGCCATTCATTGGGTGGCAACTGGAATCCTGTTCTGTTGTTCATGTTGGCTGTTGTCGCTGCCAGTCAGAGCGGTGGGTCGAACCTTACCCCACTCTTTTGTCTGGGAGAGTTCTTGTTGTCTGGGAGAGTGGCAGAGGCATTGCTGTGGATTGGTCACTTGGAGAAACCTCCGATCCTTTCCTATTGGCCTGTTTGCCGAGGCGGATGCTGATTGGTAGGACGGAGCAACCGGGGTCCTAGTTGGCAGAGCTCTCCCCGGATGGGAGCTCCGGCCACCGAGTGATGGTGGCAGCGGAGAAGATGGGCCGGGCAGGGGCCATGGCGGTGGCAGCAGAGGTGGCAGGGGCGGGGCAGCTGGTGGTAGAGGAGGCTGTAGTCTTCAGGGGGCTGTAGGTGGAGGCATGGCTCAGGACAGCAGCGGGAACGGCAGCGAGGAGGCCTGGGGGGCACTTCGGGTGCCGCAACAGCAGGTATCCCAACAGCTCCAAAAGCATATCACGACAGCCATCTATTTCCCTTTCCTCCTTCCTGTCCCTTCCTTTTGGGGGTGGGGGGAGGAACTCACAGAGCCAAAGGTACTGTGAAGTTCCTGAATATGCCCCTTCCACTCTTTGTTTAAACTTTGTAACGTAGCTACAGATGATTTTGCCTGCAGCCTCATAGACCCATCCCATGGCTGCAGTGGGAGCTTGCAGTGGCTCTCCAGTGAACAGTCTTAGTGAGGCCCCAGGGAGGCTCCCTCTGTCTTGTAACAGTTATTTGTGATGTTTTTCTGTGTGCCTATTGTCACAACAGAATCCAGCAGCGTCTTCTCTTGAGGGAGCAATTTGGAGAAGAGCTGGAACCCAGACTCGCGCCCTGGATGCCATCCTTTATCATCCACAGCAATCCCATCTGGTTGGGAGCACTGTTCTGGGTCTCATACTGCCCTTGCTCTACCCTAGGAAGTCTGAAACCCAGGATTGGAAAGACCCACCTTGGGGATGGGGAGTGGCAGACCGTGGGGATGATGAAAACATTTAAGCTTCAGAAATTACTTTAAACTCTTAACCCATTGTCTGAGACTTTGAGATAGCTCAGTTCATCTTCTGCCAAAACACTTTGTTGACTGAATATACCTTGGGGGCCAGCCCTATGCAAAACTGAAATCTGCCTCTCTCTGTATGTCCATGCCATCATCTGGTTCTCTGGACTGATTTTTGCTATTCCAAACCCTCTTCCATGTTGACTGCCCTTCAGACATTTGAACACCCCTCTCAGTGTCACTCTTCCCCCTCTCCATAGATCTGTACTAAACTTGGTTCACAGGGTGGGTGTGTGGATGTGCATGCAGGGGCTGAGGGTGGGAGTGGACAGTGCCTTGGGCTGGAATATCCTTTGGTTCTAAGTGCCTCCTTGCTCCCAGCTTCGAGAGCTTTGCCCAGGAGTGAACAACCAGCCCTACCTCTGTGAGAGTGGCCACTGCTGCGGAGAGACTGGCTGCTGCACCTACTACTATGAGCTCTGGTGTGAGTCTCCAAGAGGGCTGTTCGCAGATCCCTTTTCCAGCCTCCCTTGGACCTCAGAAGTTTAGCCTTCAGGGACCCTTCTCTGCATGGGAGGTATCTAAGACTCTCCCCCTTCACCCCCTGCAGGGTTCTGGCTGCTCTGGACAGTCCTCATCCTCTTTAGCTGCTGTTGCGCCTTCCGTCATCGAAGAGCTAAACTCCGACTGCAGCAGCAGCAGCGGCAGCGTGAGATCAACTTGCTGGCCTACCATGGGGCATGTCATGGGGCTGGCCCTGTTCCTACTGGTTCACTGCTTGACCTTCGTGAGTGACTTGAGGCTCTGGGCTCACTGCCAGTTGCCCCTCCCAAATGAGGACCCTGAATCATCCCCACATTGTTTGCAGACATTTCAAAGCACGGTTTTCCCTAAGAGTAAAGAGACTACCACCTCATCCCTGGTTGCATTCAACCAACCATGCCATTCTTTCCTGCAGGCCTCCTCAGCGCCTTCAAACCCCCAGCCTATGAGGATGTGGTTCACCGCCCAGGCACACCACCACCTCCTTACACTGCGGTCCCAGGCTGCCCCTTGACTGCTTCCAGGGAATGTACCTGCTGCTCCTCCACTTCTAGCTGCCCTGCCCACTGTGAGGGAACAAATGTGGAAGGTGCTTCCTCCCACCAGAGTGCCCTCCCTCATCAGGAGGGTGAGCCTGGGGCAGGAGTGAGCCCTGCCCCCCCACCCCCGGCCTGCCGCTATCGCCACCTGACTGGTGACTCGGGTATTGAGCTCTGCCCTTGTCCTGACTCCAGTGAGGGCGAGCCAGTCAAGGAGGCTAGGGCTAGTGCCACCCAGCCAGATCAGGGGGACCACTCCCCTTGTGCACTGCCCCTAGATCCCGTACCCCAAGTTTCTTCTGTGGGGCTGGCTTCCAGTGAAGGGGACATCCCATAAGCAGTTTTAGGAGGGTGGGTGAGTTACTTGCCCACTAGAAAGACCCCTGGTCCCAGCTCCTTGAGTTCTCAGCCTTTCCCTGCCCTCCTGGAATCTGCCTGAAAGGGCTTGAGTCCTGAGGAGAGGGACTGTGTTTGGGGGCCGTGCTAGCTCTACCCCCACTGTCGTACACAGGAGCCTTTGATCTCATTAAAGAGATGTGAACCAGCTGCTTGTGGATTTGGGTGGACTAGTGCTCACCTCACTTCACTGCACTTGACCCGACTGGCCATTCTTCCCACCTTCTCTGAAGATAGTATCCCTAAGGCTTGGATGAGCCAAGACCTCTTGGCGAGGCAAAGCTAGCAGAAACAATAGTTTCTCATGGTTTTGCAATTTATTTAGAAAAATAGACTCTGAATTCACATTCACCCCAGTGCTGTGTGGGATGACAGTAAGGAGACACCTGAGATGAGGTTTTGAAGCACTGGTAGCTGGGGGCAGAAGCTACAGACCTGGTCCATGTAGTCTAGAGTGGCACAAGGGGTCTGGCTCCCCTCCCACATTCTCCCTTCAGTAGTCTTCAGCCATGGCCAGTAAGACAAGGCTGGTCCAACCCTGGAAGGGGCGGCAGCCCATTCCCCGTCCATCCCGGTCACTGTACTGCTCCCAGAGGAAACCTGTCGTCTGGTACTGCCGCAACACATTGCCCACCACATTGGCACGGAGCTCACTGTGGAGCTTGGCAGCCCGGGCTTGGTGGGGACCCTCCAGCTGCCCATAGTGGTGGAGAGCCCCTAGGGCCAGATAGTTGACATTGAGCCATACAGCACCCCGCCAGTAGGGAGGGTCATGCTCTGAATTGCGCTGGCCATAAAAAGGGCTGGAGGCTGCAAGGGAGCGCAAACCAAAGGGACTCCAGAGATGGCGGCTGTCAGCAAGAATATCCAGCAGCGGCCCAAGACGGGATGAGTGAGGGTCAAGCAACCGCAGCAGCAAGGGAAAAAGACTGACATAGCCCAAAGCATCCACATATTGCAATCGAGGGTGGGGCCGGCCCACCACCCGAATCAGCCCATGAGGGGGATGAGGCTTCAGCTGTACTGCTTTTGTGTGGTTTCCAAAGTCTGCAAAGATTCCTAGCTCTGGGGCCCAGTGCAGCTCATCCAGGATCTCCTCTGCCCCCAGCGAGGCTGCCAGTGGGCGCAGCTCTGCAGCTGCTTCAGCCTCTCCCACCTGCTCTGCAAGCTGCACAAGCACACGAGCGCCCAGTGCCACCCAGCATCGCAGGTCCAGGTGCCGTTCGGCAGCTGAAGGGTGTGAAGCTCGAGGATAGTCATCTAGCCCTGAAGGCAGTGTCTTGGGGTTCAGTAGGGTTGGCAAGGCTGGGTCCCGACCCCGCCAACGGTAAGATAGTGGCTCTGGTCCTGCCTGGCTCTCATGGAGCCAAGAGAACCAGGCACGCAGGCGAGGGAAGGCCCTGCGGAGAAAGGCTAAGTCGGCGGGATCACCACCCTCTAGCATGTGGGCTACAGGCAAAAGCAGGGTTGGGGGGTTGGCATGGGCTGCTCGTTGCACCAGGAATTCTGGGGGTACTCGGGCTCGGGCCTCATCCCCCAGCACCTGTTCCCGCCCAATCCAGCCATCGGCATTGAGTAGTCCCAGCCAGTGGCCTAAGGCATCCCGGGTGAGGTGGGGATCCCACCGCTGGACCAGTAGCTGGTGAAAGCCCTCATCCCAAAGGAAGCCTCGTGGGAAGAATGACCTGGAGGGCACTGCTGTGAAAAGAGGGACAGGTGGAAAGAGGGCTGGGGCCACCTTCTGCTCAGATCCCTCATCACTTATGTCTGGCAACACGAGACCCTGTCCATAGAAGTAGCCAATCCCACCAAGGAGGCCGCTGAGGGCAGCCTGACCCAAAGATTGCTCCTCAGGGCTCAGACCCTTCTCCTGCAACCGGAAGGTCTTCTCAAAGCGCTCTCTAAAGGCTTTAGTATGGGCCTCCAGGGCCTGAGTCAGCTGGCTGCCTGACAGCTGCCCCAGGGCTCGGTTTCCTCCTGCCTGGGCACTGCCTGATTCAAACACCAGCTCCATAGAAAAAGGGACTCTCAGTGTCACCTGTTGTATCAAGAATTGCCCTTGTCCCTGACCTTGCCCACTTGGGCCTCTGTCCTCCCACTTCAGAGATCCTGGCAGGCCAAGGTAGCGATCAGGGGAGGCTCCTGGGGGCCGATGCTGAAACCAGCTATTTAGGCGACTCTTCACCATCTCTGTCAGCAAGGGAAGTCCTGGGTTGGAGGACCAGAAGACATTGTAGCTTGAAGGAAGAAAATAAATAGGAAATATTATTTGGGAGAAAGTGGAAGAGATTATAAAGAGAAATATGAGGTGACTAGGAGTCAGGATGGGAAGGTCCCAGCAATACAGAGGACATGGAGCCTGGTGAGAAGGGTGATACTGGTGGGGAGAGGTAGAGTGGAGAAGGAGACAGAAATCAGGTTAAGTCAGCATCCGTACCACCCCTCCCAACACCCCACATTCTCCTTCCAATTACCTGCCATACTTGGGAGCAGTATCCCCTGGACTGGTTGGTGCCAGAAGTGTAAAACGGAAGTCCCCAAGTTCGCTGGAGTGCCCACTGATGAACTTCAACTGCCCCTTAGCCCCAACCTCTGGCACTAGGGCTTCCTTGCCATCTGTCACCACGTAGAAGAACAGGGACACCAAAGGGAAGGAAGAGGTACCTGAGGCCTAGATGACCAAGGAAGACAGAAAAACAGCATTAGATTGACATCCTTTCTTGAGAATCAGCCTTAGTGAGGGAAAGGGGCACCAGGTAGAAACAACATGAGAAACAACATATAACTGGCAGTGTTGAATGAGGGTCGCTCAGGGTAAGCACCCAGTGGGATGAGAGAGAGACCCTTGCACAGGGTTCTCTGGGAAGTAAGAGTATTCCTGTGCCATATATTATGCTAAGAACTCTCTATATTATTTCGTTTAATTCTTACAATCCTGTGAGTTAGGTGCAATTTTTATCTCCATTTTACAGAAAAGGAAAACAAGGCTTAGAGAGAGTAAATAGAGGGGTCATAAAGGTAAGTGTTTAAGGCAGGCAGGCAGATTCAAACCAGGCAGCCAAACTCAGAGCTCCTGCTGTTACTTCAAACTGCATTTGCCGGCAGCGAAGGAAGGGTGGAGTGAGTCTGGGCTGGGGGTAGGGTGTCCCAAGGCCCTGACCTGAGGCTCTACAGTCACTCTCCAGGTCCAGTCCCCTCCGTGCAGACCCCCAGGTCTCTTGACGAATTCAGTGGTGAGCCTTAAGGCCCCATCCTGGATGTGTTGCCGCCCGAAGGAGAGACCGTCGTGAAACTCCCAGCCATAGGGACCCACGCCGTCCCCCTGTTCACACGTGTGCCTGAGCCTAGGGGTCCCTGAGGCGGCGCCTTGCTGTGCCCACATTAGTCCTGGGGGTAGAATGGCCACGTAAGTCGAAGACAGAGCAGGGATCCTGGTCCTCTGGGTTTACGAGAACTTCAGGGTCATCCCTCTTCATAACTCTCCTAATCCACTCCTCCCCACTCCTACTCTGGAGTGAAACTGGGGCGCCCAGATTATGACTTCGCCTGCCTGCCCGCTCGGGCCCGGTTACCGGTGAGGAGGGGCTGCGGGCTGCGGGTCTTCATGCCGAAGTAGACGTGTGGACGGTAGGTGCCCCAGAAAAGGTCCGGAGCCACGGCAGGGCTAGAAGAGTCCGGAGGCAGCGCTGGGGGCGCGGAGTGCAGCGTGACTGCCCGCCGCGCACGGTGCCACGCCAGCAGCCAGCTTCCCGACAGGGTCAGGGCCAGAGGCAGGACCACGATGGCCAGAACGGCTCCCCCGACAGTGCCACGGGCCACGCCGGCCCGCCTTTCCCGTCGCGTAGGGCCACCCCGAGCCGCCCCCTCAGCCGTCCGCCCTCCATTTGTCGGTGCTCCGCGGCGCCGCCGCTCGCCCCGAGCCATCCTGGCACGGAGATCGGCGTCGCGGCAGCTTGGAGAAGCGGTAAAGGAGCCCGGATTCTGCCTTGGCTCCCCCGCTCCAGCGCAGCGTCCCGGCGGCCACTGAGCTGTCAGTTGCAGAAGCCCGCCAGCGCCTCCTTCTAAGCTTCCGCATCTCCCCGGAAGTCCCGCCCTGCCACGTCACGTTAAGTCTCCTAGGCCGGAACGGGCCTCGACGCCTGGTTCGGGGCTCGTGAGCTGTTTGGGTCGCGTCCAGTGGGCCTGTGTTTAGCGTTTATTTGGTGTCCTCGCGGGGTCCATGGGCTAGTCGAGAAAAGACAATCTCACATTAGGCTATTCTAAAATATGTATATTCTTTATGCCTAAGACGCCATCCCGAGTGATTTACAATTAACACTGCCTCCACTGTAGCACTACAGAATTCGTCCACATGGCGCTAGCAGAGCTAAATGCTAAATACCAAATACCAAGAATAGCAGTGGAGAAATATTGGCTATTTTTTAAAGATTTTACTTATTTGCTTTTTTAGAGAGAGGAAGGGGAGGAGAAAGGGAGAGAAATGTCACTGTGTGGTTGCCTCTCACACACCTCCAAGCAGGGACCTGGTGCGCAACCCAGGCATGTGCCCTGACTAGGAATTGAACCAGTGACTGGTTTGCAGCCTGTGCTCAATCTACCGAGCCATACCAGCCATGGCTATTCGCCATTTTATTAAGGGTCTCATCCGGGAGAACTGGGAGGTTATTACTCAAAAGTTGGAACACCCCAATGGCATGGCTGGTAGGTTACAGATTATATAGAGCAAAATCACAGGACACTGTGGGTTAGGGGTTCCAGGTCCTGCTGGGAGCTTATTGGTCGGTGAGCTAAGGATAGTGAATCATTTCTTCAGGCCTTGAGGATAGCTCTGGGGTGTGTTTCTGCCTCCCTGTGTCTGGCTTCATAAGAAAGTAATGAAGGGTGCATCACCTTTGGGCCCAGGACCTGAAACAATTTAGGTAAAGGTGTTATCTAGCCTGCCAGAGGTCGGGACCCTGTGACCATTAGTCATTTGGGCTATGGTCTTTTGGTATCTGGGGGGTGGGGGGTCACTGATAATGGGGGAAAGGTTAGGTCTCTGAGAGGTATATGTGTGGAGATAGACTGATTTCTAGGGCTATGATTTAAAACTCAATTTAATCAGTCATAAGGACCCTTGGTTTCATCAGCATGGCCCAATCTGGTGGCTGAAACCTGTGGCTTAGAAGTTCAAGTAATTTGGCGCTGGTCAGAGACAGGAAGTGGTTAGCTTGGAATCCAGGTGTATCTGAGTCAAACTGGATCATTTTGCCCACTTCCCTAGTGAAATGGAGGGTGCTGGAGTGGACCTCTGGTGAAGCCCGAGATCTGCCGCAGCACTGTCTTTCAGGGACCATGACTTGAGACATCTTCACTCAGGCTAGGATTCCTCATCTAGATGAACTCTAAAAGGGCCATAATGGTTGTGTATGAACTTAGAGAATGCTTGCTTATTTATCTATTATCTATATCTATCTATCTATCTATCTATCTATCTATCTATCTATCTATCTCATCTATTTATTTTCCACAGCCCAGGAAGCAAAGGAGTTTAAGGAAAGGATCACTTAGGTCCAGTTAAGGAAGGCTTTAGGAAGGAGCACCTCAATTTGACCTGGAAGAGTCAACTTTACTTTTGATGGTTGTTAAGAATGCAATTTAGATTCAGGTATTAATTTGTAACCAAGAGCTCAGCATAAAAGGCTTTAAAATCTCCTGGGGCTGAGAAACTTGAAAAAAAGGCTGACAACTCCATCATTACACTGAGTTTATTAAGGGAATTTACATGAGGTGCATCTTGGGTGGCAGCAAGACATGAAATATGCTCTGCCACTTGGCAGGCCTGAAGGGGTGTGACCCGCCCCCGATAAGGGGAAAATGCCTTGTCTAGAGCAGGGCAACAGTGTGTTCTCTTCCTGGAACTGGCATGTGTGGGGCATACTGGACAGATCGATCAGTCCCTGGGGGATTTGGGGGAAGTAACCTGTTTTGACCAGGATCTAGCTGGCCAGGGGCCTGTGGTCACTCATGGAAGTCTCATCTCCACAAAGGGTCTCTTCACAAAGTACAAATCCCTATCATCTTTTAAAAACTCTATTCCACACCCTTATGCTACTCTAGCTATTACCACACCTCCTATCCAAATCATTATATATAAAATACTTTATGCTGCATGTCCGCTTCCTACTTCTCTATAATCTGACTTCCGACCCCACTCTCCAATGCAGACTTTTTGCTCATTCAACAATCACTTTCTAACCAAACCCAACAGTCACTCCTGTTTTTCTTGCTACCATTGCACCTGGTCCACATTTCTATTGTAGCACTTATGACATACCTGAGTTTTATTATTCATCTTCGTGTCTTGGTACTAATTAAAGTTATAGGTGCAAGGTAGGTGCTAAATATTTGTAAATTCAACAAATGTTTATTGCCCACACTGTTTCAGGCACTATGTAAGGTGCTGGGGACAGAGAAAACAACCTCAAGTTCACATTTACAGCAATGTTTGTACCATCCCCATTTTACAAATGAGAAGTGGTTAAGTTTGGCCAAAGGTAATAGCCGATTAACCACAGAGCTAGAGAATTCAAATTCTAGATTGTAACTTTGACTGTAGCATAAAGCTTCTTGTGTATTAACATGCCATTGAGTCAGCTTATATTCTTGGTGAACCATGAAGTTTTGTCCCCTATGTCCTAACCTCAACAGCACTGTTTATTTCCTGTAAACTCACGCTTCTGGCTTTTTTCATAGTCAATCCACCTCATATTTTGTCTTCTATTTTCCCCAGCATTAATGTCTTTTCCAAAGAACCTTGCCTCTTCATGGTGTACCCAAAGTAGAATAAGGCCACTCATATAACTTATTTCATTCCCAGTAATGCTTTAGATATTTAACAGATGTCAATTCATTTAATATTCCCAACAGTCTTACAAGATAGATACCGTTATCCCCATTTTACAAATGAGAAAAGAGGCAATGAGAGACTAATTTTTCCAAAGTTACATCAACCTCAGGCATCCTGGATTTTTACTACACTATACTAGTGCCTCATGGTAGTTTTGTTTCTTTGAAGGGGGAAGGAAAAAAACTGCCCTTTTAATATAGCACCTTTTTAGGCATAGAAGCAGTGTAGTAATGTTGTAGGAGAGTCATGGAAAATGTATTTGGCAAAGTACCCAACTGCAGTGTCTAGAGAGATCCTTGATTGTCTGGTGGAGCATTCTGAAGTTCTTTAAACCACTGGCTAGCAACCATCTTTTCCTATAACCCACGTTAAAAAATCTGTATTGCAACCAAGTACATGCAGATACAACACATGTACATGTATTTTATGTAATATATATCTATATATACATATAGGTTATATACATGTGTACAATTATATTCCTAAAAACAAGTTTCTTAAAATAATACTTCTGGTTCCAGGTGCCATGCACTAATACCTTTTATTATATTTTACTTTGTTTATGAAAGGCTGATTTAATCCCCTAAATTGATTTTATGATCCACAGTAATGGGTAGTAACTCAGTATGAAAAGTACTTTTGGCGCTGTTCTCTGAAACAAGTAGTAGGGAGATGTTACCAGTGATATGCTTTGGAAAGGTAAAATTTAGCAGCAGCAAAAATGATGAGAAAAAAGGAGACAGGGAAGGAAAATGCAACAGTACAGGAGAGTAAATGGGAATGAAGAGAACATTTCAGGAGCTTTAGTTTAGGATAGAATATTCTGAATTTTCTGACTGGATATGAAGGAAAATGAGAGGGCAGAACCAGAGGTAATGTTGTGGTTTCCAGCCCAGGTAGCTGAGCAGATGTAGTGACCTTAAAAGGAATTGGGAAGTCAGGAGGAGAGGCAAATGTATGTTTGTAAGATCACCATTATTTTGGACAAAGAATGTTGATGGGATTTGGAGAAAATCAGGTAACCTGACTATAGCACAGAAGTTGGGATTAGGTCCAAACAGAAATGCAGGGTTTAACCTACGAGGGTAGTTCAAGTTACATCAGAAGATGAGATGCCCCAAAAAGAAATTAACTTTTATGGTTAAGAGAAGAAAAATAAGAGAAGAAAAAGAAAGAAAAGTTCTACAGGCAAGTGATACTGAGATGGAAGGATGAGGACTGAGAAAACAGCACTGGATTTAGCTAATAAGTTTAAGAGGTACCTTGAGTGAGAGGTCGAGAAGTAAAATTCAAACGATGAAGCAGTGAGTGATGGTTAGAAATTGAAATAAATTCAAGTTTGTCCAGACCCCTCCCACATCCCGATTTGTCCTAGAAGAACTGGTTAGATTTGTAGTCACAGAGCTCTTTTTTTTTCCCCCCTGGTGGTGACAGCAGCTCTCTGCGGCCCTGATGATAGTGATTTGAGTGATTAAGTCAAGCTTTTCTTGGATAAGTGTCCTAATTAAGTCCCAGGCTAAAATCTGCTTGTGGTCTCTTGTCAAGCGACAAGGTCTCTTGCTGTCAGCGCCCAGCGCCAGCTACAGATTTGTCCCCGCTCTCCGCCGCGGCCCTGGCCTGGATGTGGGAGGCAAACGCAGCGAGCATTTCTTGGGCGGTGAGGTGGGCGCCGCGCATAATCAGGCGATGCCCGTCTCCTGGGGAAGAAACGAAAGAATCAGGTACGAGGACAACGGTGCCTTGGGGGTGCGGGCTGCCTGCCGCCCCTCCCGCCTGATACCCCAAGCGTGCCCACCGAAAAGCACGTCCACGCAGGGCTCGGAGCCGTCGTGCCTCACATCCGCAGTCACTAAGCAGTTAAAGTTGGTGGAGCGGACCTTCTCGCTGCTTACCGCCTGGAGGAAGGTCCTACGGTGGGAAAGCGGCGGCGTGAACGTCGGGCCGAAGATGGTGAGCCCCACGGCGGGAGAGAAGCGCGTCCCTTTCTATTCCCACTCCCTTCCCCTCGTACCTCGTTGACTCCACGTTCTCCTCGAAAGGACAGAATTGAACCCGAACCTCTTTGACAGCCCGGAGCCCCAGCCGAGCCAAGGCCGCCGCCATGGTAACGTGCGCCCCGGAAGCACTCTCTCAACAGACAACCGTCTGTTGATGAGACCGTCAGTGTGAGGCTGTGAGTGGCCGCGTTGCCCCAGGCCCCGCCCCCCAGCTTCCGCTGAGTAAGAACTATAGGCTGCGGACCTCCTGGAATTGCAGGCGTGGGCTCCCCAGCGCGAGGCAAGGAGGCAGGCCGGGGTGGAGAGCTGGTTTCGGCACGGGGTATGGCGTTGTCCAAAGTGAGCGGTCAGCAAATACTGCCTATCATTCGTGGCCCTTTTGTACCACAGTAAAGGCAATAAATACAGTGTAAAAGCTGCCTGCACCTGGCTCCGATAATCACACGTCTCTGTCTTCTGCTGCGGAATCCCCTTACGTTCCCTGCTGTGCCCATCTAGGTTAATGCCATCTTCTGTGCTGGCCCTTTCCAAGAAGGCACCATCACCAGCACAGGGATTATGCCTCTATCAGGGGATAAACCCCACTCAGGTAACTGAAGATTAAACAAACATGTTGAACTCTTAGTAACCAAAGTTTAAACGTGAAGGTCCTACAGCCCAAATATGCTTCAATAGCTGAAAGTAGTAATGGGGAGGAAAGTACAGGGTCATACAGCCCTGGGGTCTGATCGAGCTGTAAAAATGACTATTTAGTCTGTGGTTCCTGATAAATTAACTTTGTTTTTATCCTGGTTCTGGGGACTTAAGAGGAAGTGGCATCTAGGCTCTCTGCTTTTTATTGCTTTTTCTCTTTCCCTTTCCTCTGGAATGCAGCCCCGTAGCCCTTCCTTCCAGCGTCTAGCTCTGAGATGTCTTTACTGATGGGGAATTAAGCCTGAGCCTCCAGAGATGCTGACCTCCAGGTTCCAGGCTGTGGTTTTGCCATTTACGCTGGATCCCAGGTACTGGAGTGATCTTGGATTCTTAGCTTTTAAGTCCAGGCTCTGTGTAGTTCGTGGTTCTTAGGTATGCTTTCTTCCAAGCTTCCAGTTGTAGGTTTCTTTAAAATACAGTTCCAAATGTCTGGGCTTTCTCAGACAGAAATGCAGAACACTGACTTTCTGGCTGCTGATCAGACTCCTTAGGACTCAGGACTGGTCCCCAGGCAGGAAAGAAAAGGCAAGTGCCAACGAGGATGGCGCTGGTGCTGCCTTAGGGCAAGCCAGGCCTGCTGATTTCCCACCAGGTAAGCCTGGGGGCTGGGTCCCCCACCCCACAGCGTACTTAGCAGCTGAGCTGCCTGAGCTGGAGGTGCTCCAGTCCGAAGAGGGGGCTCCAAGCTCTCCAGGCTGTTGAGGCTGCTGCTGGGCAATTCCAAGGTCTGGACCTCATTACACGCACCTAGTAAGGCAGGGGTGGAAGGCATGTGGCTGCTGGGGGACTGCTGAAGCCAGATCAGTGATGAGCTTCAGCTTAAAGTAGTGAGCTAGGGGATCACTTAAAGGGGCATTTAAAGTAGTGAGCTAGGGCAGAAAGAGCCTGGAGTTGAGAAGGGGGCGTGACTCACAGCAACAGGGAGGCCTTCTGTGGACTTGAGTCTTGGGCAGGGGCTGCTGCAATAAACACAGCAGGGCCCCATCTAGCCGCTGGAAGATGTTGAGCATGAGCAGAGTCTGGCGAGTTTCAGGCGACAGGCCCCACCGCTCTTCTTCCAGCAACTCCCGGACCACTCCAAAATCTTGTCTGAGCTGCAGTGCTCCCTGCAGGCTGAAGGCCAAGGTACAATGCAGTCACCTGACCTTGTGGTCTCCCTAAACTACTCTGCCACACCCATCTGCTCCCCTTTTCCAGTTCCATTCATTCCCCTGCCGCTACCTTCGTTTTTCCCCACCTGAATCTAATCCTGTGGGTGAGGATGTGGTCAAGCCAGGCACCCAGAATGGTTGTCAACACCTGGCCAAGGACAGGGATCTGGGCTGGGGGTGGCAACCCCTGCAATCCTTGCAACACAGGCTCCAGTACAGTGTGGACCACCAACCGAGCATACTCACTGGGAATGCTGGGGAGTTCTGGAGTGACAGAAGAGAAGGGGCAGGATGTAAGAATACTGAGATCCACTGAGCACCTAATGGAGTGACTGGGGTAAGAGAGTAGGACTTCCAATGGTGGGGGCACAGGGAGTGAGGACAGGGATGGAGAGAAGTGGAACCAGGAATTGGAGGGCTCAGGATAGTCTTACCGCTGGGAACCATGCGAAAGCTGGAATGAGGAGTTACCAAGACAAAGAGGATGTCGCCAGTACCGACCCCTTGGCATGTGAAGTTCGAAGCCCCGTGTAGCTTGTTTATGACATTCTTGCAAAAAGAGACTTAGTGACTCTTCAAGCAGGAGCTGTGGGGATAGGGAGAAAGTAAAAAATGGCTTATCTGTTAGGGACTTGTCAAGTTCTGTTGCTCTTCTAAATCTGGGGAGTTTAATCTAGCATCCATAAAACCTAAGGAAAGAACTGTATGCAAAGTTGTTTGGGCTTAGGCATTTTCTGAGGAGAAATGCCATCATTTTTACTGGGTTTTTCAAAAGGTCTGGACCGTGAAAAGATTATGAACAATTGCCCTAGGGTTATCCTGTTCTCCCTAACTTGGGTCAGAGGATGAAAGTCCTCCAAGTTAATTCTCTTCTATAGGAAACTTAATAGGCAAAAACAGACACCCTTATCATGACCAATGTTCAAAAGCAAATACTAGGGAGAGGCTGAGGAAAGGGGCACTGTACAATCTTCCGGCTGTTATCTACAAAAGGAAGGTAGGATCTGCGGTGTGCAGTTCAGGAACAAAGACTATAACTTTCTGAGATTCCGGAACCTTTGAGATGTCCTTACACTTTATACTGAGTATTCTGACAGCCCACTTGCATTTCCCCAGAGCAGTGTAACCTGTAAAGCAAGAAAAGGCCCATGTGCTAGTTTGGTTTCTTTGGTTTGATAGGTTTTGTTTGTTTTTTTTTTGGAGGAGGAAAAGACAGCAAAAAAAAAAAAAAAAAAAGAGAGGGTCCCTACAGCCCATCTTGGAGGAGAATAACCCCAAGAAATGGGGTGTGTAGTGGCGGATCTGTAAAGAAAAGGTGCCTAGATGCCCGCAAGCCTGAAGAGAGGAAGGGGCCTGGGGTCCAGACATGGGGGTGAGGGTAGAGCCCATGTGGTTCCTGGTACACATCCTGGCAATAGCCTGTCTAAATCCAAGTTCTTTCTCTCTTTCCTGAAAATTAGAACCCCCTTCTTCCTCTGTCAACTGATATTGGTAAGGAACCTGTGCACTCAAGACTCAGGAAGCGTGAGGTCACATGACGGGACGTCACAGTGCTGTACGTGGTGGAATGCCCAGAGCAGATGCCTAACAGTGCAGTCACCAGACAGAGGGGCAAGGCATCAGGATGCTTTGCACAGTGTTTGGTTCACATGGTGGGCACACTGTCCCTGTACCTTTTGCTCTGTTCTCACCACCACTACCAAAAGCTAGATCCTTCTGATGTTATATCTCCTCACCTCCCTTCCATCCTGACCACTGTAACTGGGTCAAATTCCATGACCACCTCCCATTGTTCCCCATCTGTTCTTACATGCCTCCCCACCACTTGTGGGATAAAGCCTCAGATCTGTGGACTAGTGTTCACAGATTGTGTTCACTAGTGCCCTCCACCTGCTAACTCCTCCACAGTCTCCCACCCCCACTGCAGACGTGTGCATGTTAAGTGCATGCACACACACGTGTACACCACACACAAAGGGAGCTTCTGCTTTGGTCAGGCTATCTCCCCACAACTCCCCCGAGAAATTATGAACTTCCCACCTCCAGTAACCCCTGCCCTGCCATTCCTCTGAGGCTGCCAAGCTACCAGCTTGAGTCCGTAGGCCTTGTATGGAGCTTCTGTCACCACATGCCCACTCTGGCCTCAGAGCTTCCACGACTATCACGACTCATGAGGAGCCTGCTTCGGGGCACGTTACACTGAAGAAGGCAGCAGTAAATTGAGGTGGAAATGCCCGACAGACAGATCAGATGGTGGGTTAGGGCTAAGCTGGGGTAGGGGTGGGGGTCCGCAGCACCAAGGCACTGTGGGGAGTAGGAATGCAGAGAAAAGGAGCAGAGGGACAAGGACTGAACTCTATAGCTATGGCCTTATTCAAGGCAAAGAGGAGAAATTTGGATAGGAAGATAAACAAAAGACAGACATCTTCTGCAGTAGGAGCAGATAATATGCAAAATGGGGAAAATTCAAATGGAAGTATAATAGTTTTATTCATAAATTGGGAAGAAAATAAGAGTTGTTAGGAGAAACAGCCAAGAGTGGATGGAAGTTACCACTGTGGAACAGGAATCAGAGGTGGGAATGGGGGGGCAATTAAAGTGCTACTTTTTTTTTCATCAGAAGCCTGCTAAAATTATATTCTATTTCTTTAAAAATGTTTAAATCCTCTCCCAAGGACATTTTTTTTCATTGCTTTTAGAGAGAGAGGAAGGGAGGGAAAGAGAGAAACATTGAATGGCTGCCTTCCACATGCGCCCCAAACTGGTGATCGAACCTGCAGTCAAGGCGACGTGCCCTGACCCAGAATGGAGCCTGCAGCCTACGGGACACCGCTCCCACCACGCCATGCCAGCCATGGCTGTATTCTATGTCACTTTTAAACTATGGACATGTATTACCTTAATAAAAATACAAATGACATGTTCAAGGAAGAGGAGAAACATTGTATGAAAAACTAGTAAAAAAAAAGGATTCAACTTTTTATCTTGCTTTTTCTCTGCAAAATAGACCTCTGGGTAACCAAATAATTAATGAGGGCAAGTTTCCCTTTATAGGAGTAATCCAAATAAATAAAAAAAGGAATGATAGAATTGGAATATCACCACTTTGCACCCTTAATGAAATCATGGACTTGGACAGTGGTCATCAGTGGCTGTCAACATGACAAAATGAGAGCCTGATGGGGGGAGGAGTGGCAAACACGGATGAAACAAAGTTGACCATGAGTTGATCACTGTTAAAGCCTCTATGGTAGGTACACGGGGATCTATTATACCTTTCTCTCTACTTTTGTACATGTTTGAAAATTTCCAAAATAAAAAGTTAAATAGAACAAAACATGATCAAAGCAAAATAGGTAAATCTAGCAGAAACTCCAAGAAGATTCCAAGTCGCTGGGATGTTCTGTGCCTCCCCCCAACTCCAAAGCTGGCCATTGTCAAGGTCCCTGCTCTCACCTGCATCTGTAAGGTCAGCTTCCGGATTTCCAGGCCCAGCTGCTCCTCCAAGTCCAGGGCCACGCTTTCCCCTGAGGCCAGGCTAGACAGAGCTTCTGCCTCGTGTAATAGAGGCTTTGGCAGAAACAGGGAGTGAGATCTGAACCCAGCCTCGGCCGCTCCCCTCCCCAACCCTGGCTACTTACAGGTAAGTCCTTCTGGATCAGAAGCAGGAAGGATTCTGGGGCCCACACTGCCAGATGCTGCTGAGCTCTGCCCCAAAACCAGAGCAGGGTTGTCTGCAAGGTACAGAGCCCCAGGGCAAGGGGTGCAGGAACTGGGGAGGGGAGAGACAAGTTACCTGAGGGCTCATGGAGTACCTTTGGGAAGAAGCAGGTTTCAGAACGGAGCAAAAGAAAAAAGAGATATCCTCAATTGTCCTGTTTCCCCAACCTCAGCCACTTGTCTCACCTGGAGGCTGACAGAGGAGCAGCCCTGACGTGGGCTCTCGAAGGGCGTCCAAGAGAGGAGGGAAGAGCTGCTGTAGAAGTTCAGTGGTATGACATGATGAAGAAAGGCTGCTCTGATTACCAGCAGAGCCCAAGGCTTGGCAGAAGACTGAGGATGAGGGGGTACAGTTTGATGGGGAAGGGCCAACTGGGGCCTGTGTCACTCCCAGTTTCCCTTCCAGTGTCCCTTCCTTCTCACCTTGGTCCCAGCTCCAGATAAGAGACTGATGAAATAGGCCGTGACACAAAGAAGCCAGCTCCTTCTCACACTCCTGAGGCAGGGATGCTAGTGGAAGAAATTACTCTGGAGCCTGCAAACAAGGCCTCAGTTTTCTACAACCACTGCAGGCCCAATGATGGGAGAAGAGAGGAGTCCCCCAAGACTCAAGAGGGGTGGTAAGCAAGACTGCCTTGAAAGGTCAGCCTGAACACTGGGGTGGGTGTGGGGCAAGGGTGTTCATTCTAAGGGCCTACTTTTGCAGTCGGGCTGGTAGACGAGTGAGGTGACTAGAGAGAAGGGACTCCAGGCTTCCCAAACACCCACCCAAGCCTACCACTCACCTTGATCCAGTGCCTGACTTAGTTGTCGTGCCGCTACCCTGCGGTCCTTCCAGGGTCCTAGACTTAGGTCCAGACTCTGCGCACAGGCTGCCCATAGCTGGGTCCAGTACTGGCTCCACAGGGTTCCAGCTCCTCCAATTCCCAGTCCACTGCTGGCTGAACCTGCCACGCCCCCGATCAGACCCAGGAGCCCTGGCAGCAGCTCCTGCTCCTCACACCACCACTTGCGGAGCTGGTCCCGCAAGTCCAATCCCCTGAGCGCCTCATTCAGCCGACCTGCCGCCTGGCAACCCCGCTCCCCCGCGAGGAGACAGAGCACACGGGCTGGGGGGAAAGGGCACGCTGCCCCTGGGACATGACTTAAGGCTTTCCCCTGCAGCTGATGGTAGAGGGGAAGCGCGAGCAGCAGGTCCGCCAGTTGGGATGACAGGCCGGGGCTGGCGGGCGCTCGGCCCAAAGCGCGAAGCTGCATCTCGATGACAGCATCCAGACTATGGGCAGCTAGTCCGACGGGGCGCGCCAGGAGTAGCGGCTCGGGAGTCTCCCGAAGGCCGGTTCGCAGAACTGCCTTTCGGGAAAGCTGCGCCAGCAGGTCGAGACACAGCTGAGGCAAGAGGCCAGGGGATGGCGCTCCAGTACTCAGCACCCTTAAGAGGCGCACCGCTGCTTGTAGGTGGCGGGCGCAGTCTTGGGCTTGAAGGAGCTGCTCCCGCTCTCGGTGCAGCCGCAGCAACACCGTCCGGAGACGCTGCAGCGCGGGAGGAGTCTGCCCGCCGGCAGCGGGCTTCTGCCTCGGGTCTGCAGTGCCAGCCTCATGGTGCTCTCCGGTATCCGGCGCCGCCCACCATGGCTGCCCTTCTGGAGCTCCGCTGGGCAGTTGGTCCAAGCAGGGGATGCTCCCGGCAACCAGCGGCCGGGGCCAGCCACTAACGTCCCCACCAAGAGCGCCCGCGGGCCTTCTCTCCCTCCGCTCCTCACCAGTGGCCCCGTCTGGCGGCCACACCTGCGGCACGGGAGCGAGCAGAGGCAGGAGGCCACCTACCGGGGACGCATGGGCCATGGGGCAGTGTGTCCGAACTAACCTAACGATTCCCACTGGCCTGCACCGCCCAACGCTCGCCGTGGCCGGGACTCCGCCCCACCTTGAGAGCCGTCATTTCTGGCCGGAAGCCGCTGGGACCGTCCTGAACTCTCTTGCACTCCGTAGTCGGAGGCTTCTGCCCTTAACAAAGATGACTACCCACTTTGCCTTACCACTCCCTTCAGCCCTCAAAATACGTGTCTGTCTTTCACTTTCGAGTCATTGTGGATGGGAGATGGAGCCGATTCCGAAGACGGTGGGGCAGATCAAGCTAGGTGAGCAGGTGTGACAGAACGGGAGGGGATCCAGGAGGGCCGGGGCAGCCTCCTTGGGTGTATCTGTTTTCAGTGGGATTTTGAGTTTTACGCGGTGGGAGAGGGCTCCAGCCAAACCATTCTCCTGACGCACTGTGGCTTTCCTTTCCTGTAGACTGTCCTCTGTCGCTCGGCTGCCCGCTGGGGGTCGCTGCTGTCCCCAAACTCTGCAGGGAATTCGGTCCTGAAGACTATGGAGAAGAGGTAAAAGAGACTCCTAGCTACCCCTGGCCCCGGTTATGTCTGCCACGCCTCTTTTCACCCTGCTTTGCTAAGCCCTGCCCGGCCAGTGCGCTGGGCTCCAGGGACTCTGGGGAGCGCGTTACCTCGGCCCGGCCCTCGAGAGCGTGGTGTGTATCTGGGGAGGAAGCAGCAGAGACCGAGGAAACGCTGCCTGGATAAAAAGTAGACAGGGGCAGACTAGGTTCCCTGGGTTGAGCACTGGGGAGTGGAGTGGGTAGGAGTTCCTTGGGGAAGATATGACAAGAGGGAGCAGTGTGGGCAAAGACACTAAGGCAAGGAAAAGTTAAAAGAACGTTATTGAAATGAAACATGAGCTGAGGGTTTGGTTGGAACTGTAGGAGATAAGGTGGGAAAGAAGACAGCAAGTGACTTGGAAGGCCTTGCCCAATACCGGGAGAGACAGGATCAGATCTGGGAACACTGAGAAGCAGTACTTCCAACTGCTTCCTGGTTGTTTTTCTCTAAAACCTCAAACTCTTAAGTCCAGAAGTTTATTTGTCATCTTTGCAAATCGGTTGCTTTTCCTGTAATCTTAGCTTTGGTTGATAACACAAACTTCCATCCAGTTGTTTCATCCAGAATTGTGAAAATCACTCTATATACTCCTCCCTTTCCTTTACCTCATACATTGAGTCAGTCACTAAAATCTACTTCTGAAATGTCTCTCGAATCAAACTCACCATTTCTGTTCCTGTTCCTGCTGCCACTGCCTTAGTTCAAGAACTCCTCCTCTCTGGCCTGAATAGCTGTAATGGCCTTCTAACTAAACATCCCACCTCTAAACTATTCTATTTGAGTTTCACTTTCTATATCAGGTCCACTCCTATCACTCACTGATAGGACAAAGTTCAAAGTCACTGGGTCGCACAGAGTTCCTTCAGATACAGCTCCTGACTGCATCTCAGTGAGAATAGTCTCCTCATCAGTCTGCCTTTGCTCATTCAGCACACACTCACTGAGTGCCGGCCGTGCACCTGACACAGGCAGTTTTAGGCTGGAAAGACAGCAAATCAAACAGAGAAAAATCCCTCTATTAAATGAATTAGAAGTATCGAGTGGGAGCAGCCAATCAATACATAAACAATATGTCAGATGTAAGAAGTGCAAAGGAAAAGCAAGCAAGAAAGAGAATAGGGAGCACGGAGTGGAGTTGAGAGATGTCTTGTTTTAACAGGAGTGGTCAGAAGGCCTTTCTACAAAGGTTTAAGCAGAGATCTGAAAGGAACAAGAAATTGAGCCATTCACCTGGGAAAGAGCGTTCCAGGGAGAGGAAATAAGTACAAAAGACCTGAGATGTTAGAAGTGAAGGTTCTCAGTGTACTAGGTGTGTCGTAGGGACTTGAAAGGAGATCACAGTAGCTGGAGGAGGGGCCATGGGAAGGTGGGAGATGATTTATGAAGGTTTCGGGGGCGGCCCAACCATGCATGACCATGTAGTGAATTAAGACAGTGGCATAGAATGTGTTTGGGGAGAGGTGGATGGTCAAAGAATTTTTCTTTTTAGATGGCTGGACTGGGCTGAGGAGGAAGAGGGAGGGTGAAGATATAGGGGAGGATATATTTGAATAGCAGGCACATCCTGAGGAGACTGCCTAAAACCGGTCCAGAGCATGCATTATTTCTGCCCGAGTTCCAGTTTTGGAAGTTGAAATAAACCCACTGGGAAATTGCATTTGAGATGAAGACTTGGTGGAAGTGCTCAGCAATGTAAATGAAGATGCTGTTGAGTCAGGACTGTCTCCTGAGGGGAGCCCTGGATCTGACATTGTTCAGAGGCTGACTATGCCTCAGTGACCTGAGTCCTGCCTGTGCATTATTTTACCACTCCGTGGTTTCCACTCAGTCCCCACCTCATTTGGGTCCGCTCTGTTTAGGCCTGATTAGCCACAGAGGGACGTGGTGATTCCTGTTCTTCTTCGCTTACACTAACTGAGAAAACCATTCTCGTCAGAACCACAGAATGTATGGGCCAGGCCTTGAAGGATCATGCTTCGTTTTGTGAATGAGGACATTAAAGTCCAGAGAAATTAAACAATTTGTTCAAAATTGAAGAGCCAGGCAGTGGCCGAGCCAGGACTAGGATGCAAGTAGCTCTGCTCCAGCACAGTGCTCTTCCCAGTCCCACAGTGCTTCACCCAGCAAGGGACCAATAAAAAGCAGTGAATAGGAGGCTCTAAATTATATAACACAGTCTATGTGAGCACAGCGTGGTAGAGATCATTGGAGATAAAAGGCTCTCACAAGTCTCTGAGGGGAGACAGAATGTGAACTGGATCTCAAAGGTGAGGCAAGATATGGTAAGAAAGAGGCTCAGAGCCAGGAGGGATTCAAGCACCACTGGGGGCAAACCCCAAGGCTGGAAGCAGCCTGGTGGCAGAGGGAAGATGACAAGGGAAGATTGGGAAGGTCAGCCAGGGGGCTTTTTGGAAGGTTCCAAATCCCAGGTTGGGGAGCTAGATGCCAGCGTGTGGCCCTGGCAGTGGGAGATCACTGGAAGTTCCTGAGTAAGAGAGTAATTGTTCAGAGGTTGGTTTTGGAGAGAAACATGAAGTGCAGGAGAGAGGCCAGCCAGGAATTGCTGTGCTCAGTTAAACATGAGATAGCTCCAGGTGGGGTTTATGGGGACTGTTCTACTCAAGGATGTGACGGGGGGCATACCTGGAAGAGGAGGTAAGAGGACTCCGTTTGAGGACTTCATGTCAGTGGCTGCCCTAGTGGCAAGTCCGGAGGAGGAGATACTGCCCGGATGGTAGGGAAGGCTGGGTGAAAAGCACGCGCAGTCCTTGGGAAGGCAGGGCAGAAGTGAAGGAAGGTGATGGACCATGAGAGCTGGGAGCAGTGTGTTTTGAGGTGCTGAGTCAGGAGAGGGTGGCAGTAAGGTTCTCCAGGCTGGGTAGCTGCTTTGTGGTTGCCATGGTAGAGGGATCAAGCCAGCCAAGCCCCTTGCTCTCTCTCAGAGCTCTCCCCCAACACCAGCCTCCCCTCCCCCTCCCAGGACATAGTGGATTTTCTGCGACGGCTGGTGGAGAGTGATCCCCAGGGCCTGCACCGGATCCGTGTGGATGGGAGCAGCGGGCGGCTGCAGCTGTGGCACCATGGTGGGGAGTGAACGGGTCGGGCCCAGGAATCAAGGCTGGTACACTGGGGAGGGCTGGCCCTCAGATGCTCCTCTCTCTCATGTTCTTCTTTCTTTCCCTTCTCTTTCTCCTGACAGATTATCTCCTGGAACATTTCCGCGATGAAGGGAAAACAACTGGACAGAGTGACAGGGGCAAGAGGGCTGAGGGACTGGATACCTACTGTGGTCTCCAAAATTCCTTCCTGTACCCTCCCCCAGGGTCTAAGCCCTGCCCTCAAAGACCCTCTGCCCCCGCATCCTCCCCCAGCGGCTCGGACAGTCTGCTTCAGGTGGCCATGCCCCAGAGGCTCCTGCGCACCGAGGAGGTGAGCTCCCCCAGGGTTCTCGCGAGCCCCATATTCCCATATCTGTATTCTCCCTGAATCTGGCCCTTTCAGGGTTCTTCTGTGCTGCTTGCCTCTCTTTTGCTGTCTCTCTCCTTCTCTCCCTTTTACCCTGTCCCCTGCCCTTCCTCCTCCAGGAAGCCAACCGCCTGGCTGAGGAGCTGGTGGCCGAGGAGGAGCGCGTGAAACAGAAAGCAGAAAAGAAGCGACTCAGGAAGAAGGTAGCGGGAGGACGGAAGGAGTGGGCGCTCAGGGGGGTTTGGGGGATGGGAAGAGGGAAGCTTCATGAGAACAGGCGAGAACTCGAGGTGGCCTGCAGTGGGTCCTCTGCCAGGAGGGCCGAAGGGGTACAGGGGCTGGGGGCCATGTGGTGCAGCAGTTTTGGGGTCACACTGTACTGCCTGGGTTGAAATCTGCCTCCTGTTTATTGTGAAACGTCTGCCCAGTAACTCTTTCGTCCATTATTTTCACCTGTAAAATGAGGGCAACACCTCCCTCAAAGAGCTCCAAGGATTAAATGAGATGGAGCATACAAAACTCAGCCCAGCACATACATGACATACATAGTATCCTACACATGAAGAGTTGGTCTCAAGATACAAATTGTGTGTGTATTTAAGTACAGTGTTCAAAATGCAGCCTCCTCCTCGTTATTATTACAGCGTCAAAAGGACCGAAAGCGACAGGAGCGCATGGAGCAGGACAGTGGAGAGCCCAAGGCGAGTCTACGGGCAGGTTCTAAGAGCACTAAGTGCCAGGACGAGGGGACTCAGAAGGCATATGGCTCCCGGTGATTCCAACTCTGTGCCTGTCTACCTTCCTTCCAGGTCGAGGGCGCCCCAGATGGAAATGAGAGCCCCCCATCCAGCCCTGGGAACCCGGCTCAGGGACAGTGTGGTGAGGAAGAAGTGAGAGCCCCCTTTCTTCCTCTCTGGGTCTCTGCCCACCCCTACTTCCCCC